CGTTGAATCGGGTTCCACAACCTCACCTTGTCTCCTTTGTTGGATCTATGTCCAGTAGCTCTCGTGTTGTATCTGGTCTTCACTTTCTCCGTCGCCAAGTTCACTCGCTTTCGTGCGAAACGGGGCATCACTTCAAAAGGGGCCTGGACATCTTGGATGTGTTCCTCAGGCGATAAAGGCGCATCCGTACGGCGATCAAACAGGCGTCACAAGGCAGACGAAGGTCTCGACCGAAGAGCATCTTCTGGGATGGAGAAGAGCTGGTAGTCTTGCGTTTCTTTTCGACCCTAGTATGATTTCGGCAGCTTCCCGAGCTGGATCTTTCGGACAAGGCGTCGACATTTCCAGGCGAGGATCCCCTTTTGAGGATGGATAGTCATGCCATCAGATGCTGAAAGCAGTTTGTTGTTTTTCAAGTCTAAGGAAAAATTGTATTTCCTTAAAAAGTCCAATCCGAGTATGCATGGATCTGTAATCTCCGCCACATATGCCGTGTGATGGTAGGCGGCACTTCCAAACGTGATGTTTACGTTTAACTTCCCAGTTATGTCGATCTTGTCACCAGACGCAGTCTGAAGGGTAACACAGGATGGCGTCCAAATAAGTTTATCTTTAAACTGTTCAGCTAAATCTTTCCTAATGATGGTAACATTAGCTCCTGTGTCAATGATCATACTGCAAGGAACTCCATCGATATTCCCATTGATGGACAGTCCGTTATTGTTGCCACTCACTGTATAAATTTTAAGAGCTTTAAAACAAGGTTTTTCACTTATCTGGCAACCTCCGTTCCTCGATATGGTCACTAATTTGTTTACTGCGTTGTTGCTGGGAAATGGTCTTATTTTCCGTACCTCGGGGTGTTCTGCTTGCATTTTCTTCGTATGTGGCCTTCAACTCCGCAGTTCCAGCACTTTAGAATTAGTTTCTTTTCACTTCTGTTCCGTCTCAAGCCACTGACTTGTCTGGTAAAATCATCTGCTTTATATCCGTACCCTGGGGTGTTCTGCAATTCCGTCTTAGGTGACCTTCACTACCACATCTCCAACACCTTAGAGCCACTTTCTTCTCGCTCCTACTCCGTATCAAAGCGTCGAAATTGTCTGGCTAAATCATCTAAACGAGCCATCAGTTGATCCACTGGCTCATGGACTCGCACAGCTCTGAACTGGGTAGCGATCTCTACTAGTTGCTTGCTGGGCTGCCTCGAACTTCATGGCGTACAACAGAGCGCTTTTTAAATCCTTTTAACATCCGCCATTCGAAGAGCTTTCTGTATTTCAGGGATCCCGGGCCATGCTCGATGAAATATTGCAGTGACAGAATTTCCCTTGTTTCTGTCGGGCACTTCCGAAAAGGCGAGATGTGACAGCCTTTCAACATCCGTGGCGAGTTCCTGAAGTGTTTCGGTGGGCTTCTGTTGACGGGATTTTAATTGAAGCCTGCTGTAGTCTTTTAAACATTTCTTGCCAAAGCGCAGCTCCAATGCGCCGGATAGAGCTTCGAAATCTAAGTCTTTGATTTTCGGAAGCGTCTGCAGGATATCCGCTGCGTCTGCTCTCAGAGAAGCGGCGAGATGACAGGCCTTAGTTTGGGAATCCCATCCATTCGCATCCGCAACGATAGAAAACTGGGTCTTATACACTTGGCAAGATGTCTTCCCATCATATGTACATAGCTTCAGAGAGGAGCGAGCAGGCATCGCTAAGAATTTAAAATCATCACTCCTGCTCCCTGCCGACGCTATGAATTTCTTTAAAGTATCCATTTCTTTGGCAACTGCAGGAACTCTCTCATCAATTTGTTGTTCGATTTGGTATTGGACGGCACAAACTCTTCCTTCAATTCGTTCCTCCAGAGCAGAAACTCTCCCTTCTATATGTTCTTGTACGGAAGAAACTCTTTCTTCTATTTCTTCTTTCACCGAAGAAACTCTTTCTTCAAATTTGATCTTTTACGAAAGAAACTTTTTCTTCAGTTTGTCCAACTTTATTTTCAACTGTGTCAATTCTGCCTTCCATAGCTTCAAATTTATTTTCTATTATGCAGGTAATTTCTCTTTTCATTTCTTCTTGACCAGCTTGAACGGCTTTCATTTCGTCCTTAACGAATTCCTGGCCCAATTTCATTTCTTCCTTAACGGAGTTGACGCCCCTTCATCTTCCTTGGCTAGATTTTCATCTCTTCTTTCATTTCTTCTTTAAACGAGGCAAAGGCTGATATCAACTGCCTTAACTGCTCTTCCATCGCTCTTGTTATTGGCATTCAAATCCCACTTCTGACACCAAAAATTGTTGCGTGCGTACGGGTTCGTTATGAAATGAATGCACAAGTCCCATGAAAAATTAACAAAAATTTATTATTATTACAACAAAAATGCTTAAATTTTCTCAAATTAACATGCAGTATTACAATATCTCACAGTAGTTTTCTTTTAATTACTCAAATGTCCAATAGAACGTAATTCAAAACAGCTAAAGAACGCTAATCAGCGTCCTTTTATAAGATTTTAAAATCACGCACTAGAATTTTCCAGTACTTTCTCGAAATCAAAAAGAGATATTTATTTATTTAATGCACGCACTCTTGTATTTTCAATTTTCCGGCTTAGCTTTCTTTTAATATTCGTCACGCGCTGCACTGCGCGAGAAATAAAACCATTTAATTTATAACTGAACTAACATTAGCTTTTTAAATACCAAATTCGTAACAATATTATTATTATATAAGATCACATTCTGACGTTCATCATGACGTCATATGTATTAACCTGAAGTGTCAAAAGTTTTTTTCTTTCCTGGTTTGGCAATTAAACATTATTTACGAATTGGTTGTTGCTTGGAAAGAATGAATTAAATTCTTTCATATTGAAATGTTTGCATACATTTGCTTTTCAGGGGTACATAAAACTTACAGATTTTGCTTTGGCTGCAGCCCGATAGTTTTTTTTTTTTTTTTTTTTTTTTTTTTTTTAAATCTTATTTGCTCTTTTCTGCACCGGTATAGAAGATATAAATAAATATAATATATAATTTTGTAGTCCCCTTCTGTTTTACTTAATTCATGCTAAAGACTCTCTTTTCTTTTTCACGAAGATTTCGGTAATTAGTTGTGCTATACTGAAAAGATTTTATGCGATCGAATATTCTCTCTTGGTTATGAAAATTGCGTTATTCATACCTTCAATCGTAGTTACCTACTTGGTTTTCTAGCATAATATTTTACCAGCTGAAACAAACAGACAACAACTGAAGGAAGGACACATTTATAAGTTTTATTTTAATGGGGCTAATTCTATCATCTTCCTTCACTCTGGACTAGAATTTAAATTCGAGGTTTACTGAAATTAAAAAATGTCGTAGCTGAACTAAATAGTCGTACTGAATTGCAGCTGAATGAAACTGCTTCAATCATCTACTAACACTGGGACTAAAATGATCAGCTATTATAATAGACTGATGAAAATCTAGACAATCCCAATTTCACAACATAAATGACTTGAAAACTGAGTCAAAATTAATTTCACACGTGTAAAAAAAAAAAAAAAAAAAATCTCAAAGGTTCAAGAGCAATATCGCAAAATAATTTTAAATTGAGCACATCTTTAGAATTTCCGATACACAGCCTTACGCGCTGGAGATAAAAATGTTTTTTCTGTACGACATTGCCATTGTTCGCTTTGAAATCCTTGAGTTTGTTAATCAAAAATTCGTTAAAGTTTTACAATATAGGAAACCGCTAATAAAACAAATTCCAAATTTCAAATTTGGGCTTCCAGATGCTCATATTCTCAGTAGGATTACGTCATTCAAAATTGGACGGATCTAGGTACCGTTGTTTTATCACAATGAGAGAATCATACATACATTTATGCAGATTTTTCATTATTCAATTTCTTCAAATATAATGCAAAACTCTAACATTATGTGGCAATAGTTTGAAAAGTGAAACTGACATTCAGAGTGATTTGACGCAAAATTGCAAAACGAAAACAATAGTCTATCAGGGACAAAGCCCCTGTGGACTAATAAGAAGGTAATAATAAAGGTGTTTTCCATTAGGTATCAACATCTTAAACTGACGAATGAGGAGATGCCACCCTTTTATACCCGTCTATTCCGTCCCTTTCCAAATTCCCCTCTGGATGTACGCTTGACCCACATCTGTTTGGCCCACGAGACCAACAAGAATTAATACCAAAATCAAAAATTACGCATTAAAAATAAAATCTCTTCATTAAAAATTGGAAATGAATCTTTAATAAAGCTTATGAAAGCTTAGAAAGGGAATTAAAATTGAAATAGATTTTTTTTTTTCCTAATTTTAGATTACAATTTAAATTTATGCGCTAGCGTTTTTATTTACTTTAGCATTTTAAATGAAAGCAAGGCTATACATAATTTAAGGTAATATTCAACTTAAGCTTTAAAATTTAGATTGCAATAAAATGCAGAATTCTGCACAGCAATCAAGAATTTCCACTCAAACTATTTCTGGAAACAAGGGAAGCGCGAAAACAACGGGTTTACGCATACTAACATTAAAAAAATCCTTAGCGGAATCTTCCCTAACGTTTATACCGCTACTGACTGCTTACCAAATTGCTGCCATTCGTCAAATCCTAAGATCTTTAACTTATTTGTCAAATCTGACAATCTATAATTGTTTAACAAATAGCTATTTAAAAACTATATACGCAGTTGTTGGAGGTTTAAACGTTTATTTTAGAATTAATTTTATTTACATCTAACCGATATAATTCAAAATACATTAATTTTTATGTTTTAGTCAAAGGATGAATTTTATCAACATTCGCACATTTGTTGTAATTAATAAAAGATATTCAGTATATTAGGGAATTAGTATAGAATATTTATATTTCCATTTATTTACTTATTGTTTAGTTTAATTTAATTTTCTTCTTAGAGAAACAGTTCTACGTTCAGGCTCTCGCCCCGTATTACAAAATAAACTAATGTTAGTAGCAGCTTCAAACATACCTGGGATCTTGAGTATTCGACTTGGTGAAACATTCTTCCCCTGTTCGGCGACGAAGGCCCCTCAAGGCCACGGTTCAGCGTAGTTCTTCCCCGATAACGCCTGGCACCAAACCTCCTTCGAGGGGTCCGCTCAGTTTGATCCATTTTTAACACCTACAAAAATAATAGACATATACATATATTCTCTCATTCCAAAATACAATAATAAAAAATCTGATGTGTGCACCACATGACTTTTTTGTACGGAATATTAAATTATACGCATTTTTTGCTGCATTTCATTTAAACTTATTTCCTCGAATCTCATTAATGATATATTTCTCATTCAATTAATTCTATTCTCAGTTCGAGGCAACTCAAAAAGACATACAACCTCAAAATATCTTCATTAAAAATTGAAAAATGTAGAAAAAATAAAACACCAAATACAGTTAAAACAATAAAAAAAAAAAAACAATTTTTGCAATTAAAATTAGAGTTTCTACGCTAAAACAAGCAGTTTGGCCAGCAAGCAACAAGGCAGATTTTTCGGTGCTCAAAAAATTGAAAGTTTAATTTTGGTCCCACTCGGCAAAAAGACACTGAAGGTGCAGAAGCTGAATTCACTACTCTGCTAAGTTTCAAATGTAAACAAATTTGGCTGCTATGGTAAACGAAAATTAGGCTTAGCCGCACTTAAATAACTCTTAAATTGCTGATAATTCTATAACTATTGCATGGAGATTAACTAAAGGCACAAAAACTTTAACCAGAAGATAAGAATAACACAATTTAATTATTTTTAAAGCAAAAAATGCGCAATTTACCAACATATAAGAATGAAAATCTGAGCTCACTGAGCCGAGTAACAGAGTGGATATATATATACATATATTTATATACTTTTGGTGCGGCCGATTGCAACCAAAAGGGGAGGTGCACAACTACATATTATAGCAGTCCTATATACAAAATTTCAACGTTCTGAGGCTACTCGTTTTTGAGTTATGCTAGATACATACATGCATACATACATACGTACAGACGCATCGAAAAAAATCTGAGCAATCTTGCTTCCTTGCCACGATGAATTTCGTGGGCGTGTTCTGATGTCAGAAAAACAAGATTAGTCGCAACAACAACAATATTAAATTGCATCAAGAAAATTATTTTAAATTTCAAGAATTAAATCTTGCATATTAAATTATTATAATGTATTTCTCTTAAAAATAGTCATAAATACTGAACATTGCTCGATGAACAGTTACGTAACAAACTTCTGTCAGCGGAAGAAAACGTGCTGCCATCAGTCAATTTTGATACTTCTAACACAAAAGAAAATTTTTATTCAAGTATATGCGAACCATATTTGTAATCAAATTTATTATATTTGATTAAAACTATAAATTAGTATATAATCAAATGACTATAAAGTAATAAAAAAAGAAAATCTGAAAGGTTTCAGATTTTAAATTACGTCTAAAGGGGCGCTTTTTTAACATTTTGTGTGTTACCTTTATTTATTAAATATCATGTTCTTCGCACTTAAACCATAAAATTCAGTTCAAGAGCAATATCGCAAAATAATTTTAATTTGAGTACATCTTTCGAATTTCCGATACACAGCCTCACGCGCTGGTTATAAAAATGTTTTTTCTGTACGACGTTGCCATTGTTCGCTTTGAAATCCTTGAGTTTGTTAATCAGAAATTCGTTAAAGTTTTATTAAATATGAAAACAATAATAAAAAAATTTCAAATTTGGGCTTCCACATGCCCATATTCGCAGTAGGATTACGTCATCCAAAATTGGATGGCTCTAGGTACCGTTGTTTTATCACAATGCGAGAAACATACATACATTTATGCAGATTCTTCATTATTTAATTTCTTTCAAATATAATACAGGGCGATAATATTTGGTGGCGACAGTTTGAAAAGTGATACAGCCTTTTAAAGATTTCAACGCAAAATGCCAAAACGAAAACAATAGTCCCTCAGGGACAAATTGCCCCGTTGGACTAATAATAATCAAATCTATTATATTAATTTATAGTTAAGTATTTTATGAATTATTACTTCTGTTTACTTACTTATTGCACATTTGAACTCCTTTGTCCAACCCTTTCAGACTGAAACTTCTATTACTTCTTCCGATAAAGCTTAGTTTTAGTAATTTTTTTTAAGTATCTTATCTTCCTTAGATAAGAGACACATTTCTTCAAAAAATGCTTGTTGCACTTTTTTCAGTGATAATGTTTTTCCATAGCAACTACTATCAACCTTAAATACAATACCAGCGGTTTTGATAGACTTCAAGAATGACATGCTCAAAAATTTATGGGCAAAAAATTACTGAAGATAAAATATAGATGCCACCAATTCCAAGATAGAAATCACTTATATATTTAACATTTGTCGCAGTCAGATAAATGAAATTTGCAAAAGACATTCTTAACTGAATACAAGAAAAGTTTCTCACATTATTAAGGAACTAGTATTTAAACGACCAAATCATTGAAAAACAATGAACAATTAACTGTACAGTGGCTTCTAAAAAGTGTTCCTACATTTAAACGAGTTTCAGTGAAATATTGCTTTATTCATTAATAAAAATAAGTATTTGAGAATGAGAATTTTTTAATAATATCCCTAAATTTATCTTAGCAAAATATATTAGCTGTTTTATGAGCACAGTAAAACTTTTTTAAAAATAAATCAGTAATCAAAAAGTAACAAAAATGTTTCCTCACAAATGTCTTCGTACTCTTTAAAAAAAATCTGCAAATATCAGTAAATATTGTAAAAATTTTGTTAGTTAGTATTTGTAGGATATCCTTCAAGATACAGCTTTCAAATGTCCAGTCGTTCACTTTTTTTTAGTAGTATCTGCATCAATGATTCTACATTCTTACATCATTCTTCCTGTTTTTAGTTCGGTTTTCGCTCTTATATTATTTCTTCTCACTGTTTCTCCAAACGCGTTCTATCCAGTTTTAATCTAGTGACTAAGGTGGTATTTTCAGAACTTGTGGACAATTGTAGACACACCAAAGGCGAACGTTGAGGGCCGTGTGCATAGGATCGTTATCCTGATAAAAAGTAAAGTTGTTTCCAAAATTCAAATGTTGGGCAAATAATTTTAAATTATGTTTTAAAATATTTAAATAAAGAACATGTTTACTATGCCATCAATAAATGCTAAATTACGTAATCCTGATGTAGACATGCACCCCCACACGAGGACACGTCCACCAACCATGATTTGCTGTTCCAACCAAGTTCCTAGGATTACGTTCCTCACTTTATATTTTCCGTACAATCAAAAATGGTTAATTTGATTTCATCTGCAAATAAGACATGGTTCTAAAGCTCTTCAGACTTATTTACCATTGATTTTGAAAAGGAAAGAATAAGCTTTATATTTTTTGCACTCACAAACAATTTTTTTCATCGAGCAGAGCGCTCGTGTAATCCAGCTGATCTGAGTATTCGTCGAACAGTTCCAGATAAAACTGAAATATAAAATGTTTCAGCAAATGATATAGAAATCTTTATAGCACTCAAACCAGGATTTTTCACAAATTTTCTAACTATGAATTTCTGATCACGTTAAATTAACTTTGCCACACGACTTCTTCTTACTTTATTTTCCATCCGATTTTAAAGCTTTTTATCACATACTACACATTACAATGAGATAAATTTTGTAATTTAGCGATATCCCGGGTCTATTTTCCGCCCTTATGATAAAAAATGATCAAGCAAGCAAAGAATTTTTAGTCGTCATCAAAGTGCAAAAAATAAAAAAAACGGGGGCAGACGATAAATTTACTTATGAAATTTTACGAAAATGTTTCGATGACGATCACTTTTGTGTTTTATGTAGGTTTTCTTATATTTACCAGTTAAAAGAAAATGAGTCCGTATTTAAAAGAAAAAGTTTATTTTATTCAAAATCGCATGGAGATGATATTGTAACAACTTTAAATAATATTAAAATCTTGTAGTTTAAATAATTTAAATAGATGAACATTAAGGTATTTGTGAATGGCAATATTTGTTACCAGACTCGAGTGCCACGTGCGACTCTCGCACGAAGAATGTAATTTATTTTTAAATGTTAGTATTCTTTTTTCTTCTTGTTTGTATTCGCGTTTTTTGAGTGTAAATAAAAGTTTGCTGTGTTCCATCATTGGAGTTGCTCATATCGCAAAGAAGTATTACATCTTAATTATTTTGGATCACCGACCGAGATCGAATATCGTGCGTATTTTTATTTCTTTGTTCATCACGACATAATATTAGTGATACCAGATTATTCTTCCTGTAATATGAATTGCTTTATTTTATTAGTTCATCACTGAACGCAATATTGCGATACCAGAATATACTTTCTGTTAATATTTAATTGCTTTATTTTATTAGTTCTCACTACGCAATATTAGCGATACCAGAATATTACTTTTGTTAATTTGAATCTTTATTTTATTTCATCACTGACGCAATATTAGCGATACCAGAATATTACTTTCTGTTAATATTGAATTGCTTTATTTTATTAGTTCATCAATGAAACTCATATTGAATATATGATCACACTGAACTAGTGTTTGATATTGATTGCCTTATTTATTCAACGTAATATTAGTGATACCAGTATATTATCACTGAACGTAATTGATATTGAATTGCCTTATTTTATTAGTTCTCACTGAACGTACCCCCTTCCTGTTGATATTGAATGCCTTATTTTATTAGTTCATCACTGAACATAATATTAGTGAGAGCAGGTTATACTTCATGTTAACACTGAACTGCCTTATTTTATTAGTTTATCACTTGAAGGTAATCTTAGTGATACCATTTTAATGCCGTTTCTAATAGAGCTCAAAGGAAAAGAAAAATAGTTGAAGAGAAGATCTTGGAACCGATGAAGGAAGAAAATAAAGCATCCAGAGATGCCTTTGAAGAAGATGTTAAATCACCGGAATTAAATGTGGAAGATGTTCACGTAAATTTCAAAAACGATAAAGAAATTAACATTGAGAATCATTTGACAATGCAGCGTTAGCATCATTTTTCGACTTTCGATTTAATATCAAAGCCGCTACTAATAGACGAAGAAAACAATTGTCGAATTTAAATGACAATTGAATATTATCCGAAAGGCACAGATGAACTGAGGAAAAGTTTTGCTGTGAATTATAGCCGAGGAACTGGTCCAACATGGAAGAGATCTAGGCGCCGTCAAGAAAAAAAAAAAAAAGGAAGTGCAAATGATGAATAGAACCTTTGCTCAGTCATAAGAAGACAGAGGAGTCAGCTCTGGCCCTATCTTTGGAAAAGAAACACTTTTGCAATAATTTTTTTTTTTTTTTTTTTTTTTTTTTTTTTAAATTGAGATAATAATAGATTGGAGCTTGGACCTTTGGCTAAAATTTAAAGACTTTTATGAATATGAAATAATTTCTATAAAACTTAATTCGCCAACGGGAAATATTTTTTTGAATAATTTTGGCTGCAGAAAAATGGAAACTGTGAAGTTCTGACAACAGTGTCTAGCAACAGAAGATTTACGTATTTAGTTTTCCTAACGTCTGCCTCATGTTCGTTAACGTGAAATTTTAAGGCTATTTTAGTTTGACCTATGTAAATTTAACCCCACTGGAAAGGAATCCTGTATAGATCCCAGGAGTTCATACCAGAAATGAGGTTTTTAAGTAAGGAACTACGAATTTTTTTAACAGAAGAGAAAACAGCCAGAAAATTAAATTTCTGTAAAATACGTGCAATTTTGTAGCTGATCGATGGAAAGAAAGGAATGACAACAGAATTCGGTACTTTTCTGTTTCGCCGGCGCAAATCTCGCCAAGCAGACTTTATTGGCGACATCATACAGTATACACATAAAAAAATTAAAACAATGTTAGTTCTAAGAATTTTTTTTTTTTTTTTTTTTGAAGGCATAACCATTTACTATGCTTAAAATTTACAAAAAGCCAATAATAAGACCAATTTGTAAAAGACTTAATTTAATATTTTACTAGCTTTCATGGTTCAACCTGTTTCTTCGATCGTGTCCCCATTCATATCATCGCACGTCACTCTCCCCAAAATAATGCTTCAGTAATTATCTACAGTAAGTTCAAGTTAAATCTTAATTTGGAACACCATTTAAATGCAAAATACTTCAATTCGTACGAAAGTTACTCAGAAATTAGTAAACTGCAATGCTTTCTACTTCGCTAAGCATTCTCATTAGAATTGATGAATTTAAAACCCTTGACTTTACCTTTGCTTATTTTTCGTCGCTTGGTTTAGCGCTGTGATTGCATCCTAATTGATTAATTACCGAAATGGCCTTAGACCTAAACTGAACTTCTGAAAAGGCGGAAAAGGTTCCAGCGAGAATATTCGTTTGGCATCAATTGTACCATTATTGGCGACTTTATCGCTTGCGCCGGCAAAACGGAAAAGTACCCAGAATTCTTATAATCTCCTAAAATGAGGAAGTGCTTTCTGATGTATTGAGATGAGAATTTTTTAACCGTTTGCTGAATAATATTAGGTGAACAACCTCTGTCCATAGCAAATGCTTTTAAACAGTTATGTTCTTGATCAAGAACCGACTTGGAGTAGCACACTTGAAGTGCTCAGAAAAAGAAGGAATAAAATCAAGGTAACTTCTGTTTTATCGAATGACGAGATATGAAATGTTGTTGTAGCGAGCAATTCAACAGTTGCGTTTACTTAGAGTTATTTTTCATGCTTTGGCAACATTGTATTTTAGTTTTATGTTTAGAATATTAAAAGAAAGGCGGAAATACGCCATGTTTTCATACTGATGTGGACTGCCTGTTTTATTTCTATTAATTATTCTTTTTCTGTTTTATTTTTTACTACAGAACTGATTGAATGAATGAAATCAGACAGAAGCCTCACAACATGGTGACTAATATGACGTGATTTTAAAGGTATGTTTTTTTGAATTATGTATTATTCTGAAAATGGAATTGCTTGTTAAAAAACGTTTAACTATAAGAGCTAATTTACGAAGTGCTTTAGTTATCATGACTTACTAAAAGGAAACAATGTAAGGAAGATAATATTACATCTGTTTATGCTAATTTACAATACTTCATCCATACAAAAATCTGATGTGAAAACCACATGACTTCCTTGTATGGCCTATCCTATTAACACCTTTTTTTTTTTTTTTTTTTTTTTTTTGCAGCATTTCATTTAAACTCAATTCCTCGTATGCTAACTCATTAACCGTCCTCAGTTGAAATGACACACTGCAAATTTTGAAATTAAAAATTCTGGCTAGCTTTTGTCGTTCGCGAGTTAAACTTCTTGTGTTTTTGTTCTTTCATAACGAGTATAAAATTTTCCGAATTATAAGTATAACCTAGAGACTCATTAAAATTTAAATTTCGTTTTCTGCCAAATTTTAGTTTTTTTTTTTTTTAATTGTCATTGTCAAAAATGAATATTTGCGCCTTTTAAAACACTTCTGTAACTGGAAGTATATGACTACGACCAACGATTACGAAAATAAAGGCCGCCTATGGATTTTGAACCAGGGTAAGGGGTGTAAATATACATTGCTGGCCGTTAAAATTGCAACACCATGAAGGAAAGCAAATACAAAAATGATATGTGTTGTAAACAGTATAGCATGAAGACAAAATGACTAAATTTATAAGCAGTTTGGGGGTTTACAGGGGTGCCAAATTAGTAGATACAGCTACCAACCCTGCAAACGGCCGTTAGGCATGGAGTCGAACTGGGCTTGGATGACAAAAACGGGCAACTCATTTCATGCTGCTTTAAGTTTAGGCCACACTTCCTCACCCGTATTAGCTTCAGAGAGATTCAATATTTTGTAATTCATTCTAAACTACAATATCCAGAACAAAGTTCCAAATACTGTAATACCAGTGTAAACTTTACTCTCAACTACTGTAAGTGTTGCTAGTTATAAGAAGCGTTTACTAAAAAATCATCTGAGAAGTATTTAAGAATTATAAATGTATATTTTGCATTTAAGAATTCTTTCTGACCGCTCCAGGCGGCAAAATTTCTGGCTGTGCCCCTGCTGAGAATGCAATAAATAATGGTCTTTTGTGAATTACCAATGGGCACTATGAAATATGTTTCATTGGCATATAATAATTAAGGAACCATGCAACAAAAACAACAAAAAAAAATAAATTTTCATCATACAATCAATTTGATTTCTTCAAGCCTAGAGCTTGCTGTTTTAGTACATATGGGTATATAATTTGCTTGGTACGTTGGCATTGCCGCTTTCGATATTGAGGTCTTTGTGAAAAATCTTTCTAATATTCTTTGAGGCTTGAATTACTTGTGAAAATCTTATTCTGCCATCTTTGGAAAGATCTTCGATGGGTGCATCCTGCAGAGGCCTAAATGATGATACATAAAGTGTAGCTGACTTAATAAATTGTTATGTCTCTTGATATTAAAACATAATTTAATAGCCTTTAAATAATGGGATAAATGTTCATAAAAACACTATACGTTTTTAAGGCATACTCAGTGTCCTCTTTGAAAATTAATTTATTATTCAAAATAATTGCTGGGTATTTCATTTCAGTGTAATTTCAAT